CACCAGCAGGGGATGAGGCGGTGTGAATGCCAGATCCAAAAAACCCCGACAACCAATAAAAATCAAAGAAACCATCAACATAATTAAACAAAGAACATTATTTTATCTCCTCTGCTCCACTTACTCCTCCATAGTACAGACATAAAGCACTTATAGTTTCTACTTCTTGAATTTAGATGAATTTAAACTCTTACCTTTCAGTTAAGTGTAGTTTCGGTTCCCTGGTTGCTCTGTAGTACTTTCTAGCAGGCTTTTTAGGTCTAGATGAGAGAACAGAAACCGATCCACCAGCTACTATACCAACAAGATGAAGCCCTCAAGCAAAAAGGAAACTGAAACCTTTTTCCTTCTCTTGTGACAACCGCAGTTCTCCCTAGAGACAGAAATGCATCTTTCTCTTGCATGTGAGAATTGGATCCTCAGTATTTTTGCAGTATTTGAACTGTATTCCAGCATTTGCTTTGCCTTAGTGTACAGAAATTGCAATGATTTGATACTTTACATAAGCTTACATAAAAGTCTTAATGTTAAATAGTTTTTAGAAATACTATTGAAGGTTTAAATATAATGAACGCCTTATCATAAACATATTTTTTGTCATTGTCATTTTCGGGGGGGGGGGGCTTTGGTAGCTTTGGGGGGGGGAAGTGGGGGTGGTGTCCCTGTCTCATTTTTTCCTGGGTCTTTCCATCTCTAGCTTTGGGCATAAAGGAAAAAAAAATCATTCTAGTTTTACCCTTTGGTTTACATCTGACCTTGGGACACTTCTTGTTTTGGGTGTGTCTTCCTGACCAGAAACCTTGTCCTGGACTTTGGAGTTTGGGACCTTATTGGACTCAAGTCTTCTTTTGGTAACATTTGGATCTTGAACCAGTGCATGTAAATGTGCTTCATTAGACTTTTAGCTTTGTTGTTTTTATCCTCACTGTTCACTCCTCTTTTATTGATCATTTCTGTGAAATTTTGAAATAAATCACTTTACTTATATTTCGTGGAGTTAGTGAATCCAGTACTTTAGCCCTCATTGGCTACACCCAAGGCTATTTTGGGGCAGGAACGCACAGGAACGGAGTTCCAGCTGGCTTCAGAGTTGGCAAAACCCACTACAGCCAAAACCTCTGCGTGCGTGGCTACAGAGGGAAGGCCTGGAGAGCAAAAACCCCCCAGCGACTCCGAGGTGGGCGGGCCAGGGGGGCCCCTGGAAGGATCAGGGAGGCATTTAAATGCCTTCCCATGTCTTCCCCAGCCTGTCCAAGGGCCAGCTTGCCCAGGCTCCCCACAGCTGTGGGGTGCCTGGGCACCCCAACAGCGGTGGGGTGCCCGGGCAAGCCAAGGGAAGGCATGGGGTGTGGCCCAATATGCTAATGAGATGTGCTGTCAGGGGTGTGGTCTAATATGCTAATGAGTTTCTGCTGTTGGGTGTGGTCTATTATGCTAATGAGTCCCTGCTGGGCTTTTTCTACAAAAAATGCCCTGGCTACACCTACCAGATTCATTGTTTTGTGAAACTCACCTTGTAAGTATCCTACATTGCAAAGGTGACTTTCTTGAGTTTTAGTTCCAGGAGAGCCTGAGATTTTGTCCCTTGGCCTCTAGCTGGTTAGTTTGGTGTAGTGCCAGTTTGGTGTAGTGGTTAAGTGCGCGGACTCTAATCTGGAAGAACCAGGTTTAATTCCCCACTTCTCCACTTGTACCTGCTGGATGATCTTGGGCAAGCCATAGTTCTGGCATAGCTATTCTTGAAAAAGAGCAGTTTCTGTCAGAGCTCTATCAGCCCCACCTATCTTACAGGGTTGTCTGTTGTGGGGAGGGGAGGGGAAGGGAAAGGAGTTTGTAAGCCGCTCTGAGACTCCTTTGGGTAGTGAAGGGCGTGGTATAAATCCAATCTCCTCCTCCTCCTCCTCCTCCTCCTCTTCTTCCTCTTCCTCTTCTCCAATCTCCTCCTCCTCCTCCTCCTCCTCCTCCTCGTCTTCTTCTTCTTCTTCTTCGACTGGTGGCAATGCTACCCTGGGGTTTGAGGACTCACACTTCAGCCTTTGGGGGGAGGGGGTTTGGTCTTGCTTGACCCGCTCCCTTTCAAGGGATCCTGGGTTGGGGGGTCCCTTAACACTCTTTAGTCTGGAGATGAGGTGTAATTCCGAGGGATTCCCCAGGTTCCACCTGGAGGCTGGCATCCCTAGCTTTGGGAGTTTGGTTAGACTACATAGTCATGTTGGCACTGAACACTCCTCCTTATTTCCAGTGGCAGAAAGTAAATGTTATTTAAAGAAAAACATTATAGAATCAATTATACACCTCTCATGGTGCAGTCAACATTAACTGACAAAATGGGAGAGGCTGCAGGCAGATGTTCCAAAACACCAGCATTAGAATGTGTTCTTATTTGTTGTTGTTCTAGAAAACAGTGTCCTCACATTAAAAGACAATGAACTTCTGCTTTTGTTCTAGCTGTAGGCAAATGTCACATCTTGAACACCTTGCCTTTTGTTCGAGCATTGCACGGTAAATTTTTGGCATTCCATCAGGATGGCAGTTTCTCTTGGGAGGAAAGGAAAGGGGAAGAGTGAAAGCAGGAACATCTGTTGGGCCTGGCGGGAAGGTTCTGATGTGCATAGGAAAGGAGGAATACAAACATGTGTTCAAGCTGTCCCAGTGATGCTTCGGTAGTGTACATCCCCTTCCCTCATGGTTGACCTCTTCCATCTGTTGTACGAGTGGCTGCACTCTGGAAGGGAAGCATTGTCTTAATGCAATAAGAGTAAAACTAGAGTAAGGTTACAGCCTTCTCGGGATAAGACCTATTAAGATCCATGGAACTTACTTTTGGAGTAAACGTGTACAAGCGGACTGTGTACATCATATTCTTTTTTTATTATTGTACATTTTATTTCAAATAAAAATAACAATAACAGTAGCAAGTACAAACAAGCATGGTATAACTCTATAATAAAGTTCAGGTCTTTATTATAAATAAATACACACATACAACGTTATAAAATACACGTTGTATGTGTGTATTTATTTATAAAATACACAAATACAACGTTATAAAAAAGTAAACAGCAGTATTAATGAATAATTAACATATATGCTTCTTTAATTTGTGTAACATCTGCATTTTTACCATCTGTTCCTCGTAAAGGGTTAATAAACTTTTTCGTAAAAGGTAACCATTTTTGAACAAAGAATTTTTTATGTTTTGACATAGTAGAAGCTTCAATATCTATGTACATCATATTCTAACCCTAGTGTGTTTTATGATGCCTGTATGTTTAAAGAGTTCTGTTTGTCAGAAGTAGTATCCATGGAGCCAGTTGTTTGTTTACTGTCATCAGCCTCTCTTTCGGAGGACGTGACTGGTTTGAAGATGGGGGGAGGGGGGTGGATCCCATGGGGGAAAAGCCGTTTGAATCTCAAGTACTGTACTTGTCAAGTACTTAGCTTTCCATAATACCGAAATGTTGTAATGAGGTTAAAACCCTTGACCCGCTATAGCAAGGCAGCTGATTCATGGAACAATCGGGCAAAATCAAAATGGCGGAGCTGACGATCAACTTCTCTTTCATGTGGACCAAAGCTACTAAGCTGAATAAGCAGAAAAGCAGAGAGAGACAGACAGACAGACAGACAGACAGACAGACAGACAGACATGTAATATGGGCCCCAAATATTCCTGGACTCAGTTCAAAATGCTTCCCAGAGAGATGGCTGGAGTCAGGTCAGAAAAAGAGGAGCACTTTTCTCAAGTTCTAATGCTTTTGTGGAGATCAGGAGGAAATAAATTATTATTATTATTTTGGTTGAGTGGTTCCAACTGGGCAGCTTTCTTGTTCCTTACATATTGGGGTGGGAGGTAGGCAAGTGGCCAGGTCCAGGGAAAGAAAATGTGCACATTGGAACAGATGGGCTGAAACTACTTGGTTTCACAGTTAGTTTTCATTAATGTCAAAATTTATGTGTCTTTTTTCTGCCACTGTTGGCAAGTACGTTTACATTTTTTCCCTGTTATTCTCAGTGCTTTTTTCCTTCTCCTTGGCCCTTGTTTGTCCACATTGTCTTTCAGTTCTCTTGTCTCTGGTGACTCAGAAATAATTTTGTCAGGAAGACATTTGGCTGCATCAAATGAGCTGCTTTTAAGAATATTCTCCACAGTTTTACTCATCAGTCACCACTGTGGAAGACAATCATCTCACAAAGTGATCCATTTTTTATTTTTCTTCTGGCTCTCATGCCTCTTAATTTTTTGATTCTGGGTGTGTTCACAGAACCTCACCTCACATAATTGCTGGGAATTCCAACCATATTGTCACCTTGATGACTTGAATGCTTGTTGTGGATTTAATACATCGACATGAAATGTTGTCCTCATCGATATGGTGGTGTGGATGTGAAATGTAGTTAACTTGGTTAGGGATACCCCCACAAGTTGCTCACAGCTTGCAATCCTCTCGGGTGATTTCTTTAAGCAAAGTGAAATGTGCCATTGTCAACCCAAAAGAATTGCAACAGCAGTGTCAGAGAAGGGCTGCCGTTAACTGATTCTGAGGTCCGCTTTCTGCAACAGGTTCAGTTTTGACCCAATTCATGAGTACTGGCCTAGAGAAAATTGCTTCCGGACCCCAAAGTGGCAATCAGCATTTCCCTGAGCTTGTAAGAAAGGGCCATGAGAACTAAGTACCAATGCAACCCTTCCTGCCCTACCTCTCATGATCTGCCTAAGTTCATAGAAATCAGCATTGCTGTCAAAAAAATAGGAATGTAAATGTGAGACCATAATTTTCTAAATGTGGGATATTGGTGCTATGAGCAATCAGTAAGAGAGATATAAAAATATAAAGCAAGACAGAAATGAGTGGTGAGAAGCCCATAGCTTTAGTTCTCTCACTTAATTACTAGTTTTTCTCTTTCTAGCAGGTAGACATATTAGTCTGTCTCCGCAAAGCTGTAAAAGACTGGATTGTACAATGAGTATTAATAGTTTGGGTTTTTTTCAATTTCAGCTCCACCGTGGCGTAAAACTATATCGCAGAGATTTAGTGATGGAGACCAACTGGATCACATGGCTGCTGCTTCTTTTAGCTGTTACTCCGGTGAGTTTCTTGTCTGGAAATTCTGGTATAACTTCATGACTGTTGATATGAAAAGCCATTTGAAAAGGTTTGCCATACTTTACAATGTTGTGATATATATTGGGATTTTCTTTTTAGGTGTTTCCTGTTATTTATTTATTTATTTATGTTGGAGATCAGCTGTCTTCGGTGTGGGAACAGTCTGGTTGAGTTCCACAGGGTGCAATCTTATCCTCCCATGTTATTTGACCTAAAGCTTTTAGGAGAAAGGATTCATAGCTTTGGAACTGGATGTCATCAATACGCTGATATTTCCCAGCTCTCTATCACTGTCCAACTCCCCTGAAGATGTGGTCGAGGTCTTGAACCCCTGCCTGACTGCTGTGGTTCAGTGGCTGAAAGTGAACAAACTGAAACAACCCAGACAAGACGGAAATGACGTTGGCTGGAAAGGTGGAGATCTTGAAGGACGTTGTTCTTCCCACTTTCAGCAAGGCTTGCTGTCTCCTTTAAGAGCCTAGTGGTTATACTGGATCCGGCACTTCTGGTGAAGGGGAAAAGTTAATGCAGCTTAAAAAAAAACCCCTTCTCCCAAATCAGTCTAGTCGAGATGATGGCCCCCCTGCCTTGACATGGCTGATCTGGCCGCTTGGGTTCATGCTGTGCTAACAGCAAGACTAGACTACTGTAATGCAATCTGCATAGCTCTCCCCTTGAAGTCAACTTGAAGACTCCAGTCGGTGCGGAAAACTACAGCTTGGTTATTATTAGGAGCTAATCAGAGTGTGCGTATTCTTCCCATTCTGTAGGCACTCCCCTGGTTGCCCATCAGCTACCGAGCTCAATTCTAGGTACAGGCTGTCACAAACAAAGACGGCTTTTGTCCCTAGTATCTGCAGACTGCCTCTTCCCTCTGCTCCACCACAACAGCTTTGCTCATTGAAGCGAGGCCTCCAGTAGGTGCCACCCTGCAAAATGGGCAAAATCAACTACTGCCCATATGCGTGCATTCTGTTGCGGCCCCCGACTTGTGGAATGGCCTGCCTGATGAGGTTAGGAAGGTTCCCACCCTCCTGGCTTCCTGCAAACTGCAAAACTGGAGGGCTTTTTTACACAGGTAATTAGGGGCTGTACTGTAACAAAGTGTTTCAGAACAATGCCGGTTGATTTATTGATGTTGATTGCATTTGAATTGCACTGTGTAACCCACCATGCGTGTCAGTGAGAAAGGCGGGGTATAAATAGCGTAATTAAATTATTAACACTGTTAGCTGAAAACAGATATTTCCAGTCTTTTCATATGTCCGAGAACCATGATAACACTTTTCATGTTGTCCATTCCTCAGAAGTCTCAGCCTACACACTCTCCATTAACAGTTCTCCACTGGTATTTCCCCCCTAAATAAAGCTGGGGGGTTAATTTTGGGTTAGAAAATAGCATTGTGGTTGAAGCCTACAACACACCTTCTTCCCTACTCTAGCGTCTCTTCTTCCACTACACTAACAGCTTTAATTAGCTCTTTTTGCCCCTTAGAAATAATTACTTCGTACCATAGGGGTCCCCAAATGATGCCCATTTAATATAGCACTGTATTTCCCTTAAAAATCTGGTAACGCCGGTTCCCCAAGAGCAAAATCCTGATATAGGTCTACTCAGAAGCAAATTTCCTGTGACAGAGACCCTGATCTCTCTGCTCCCCCCCCCCCCATTCTTTTATTTTCCCCTTAATTATTTACTGTTTTCTTCTGGATGACTGTTCATAACTATTTGGTGATGGCAGAAGCCAGTTATCCTAGGGAAACCTTGTGTGTATCTAAATCCATCCCATTTTCTTTCAAAACAATTATTTCTTTGCTACCCTTATGGAAAGAGTAGCTGCACTGTTAAGCACCTTACTAGGAAGTAAGCCCTATTGAGCATAATGAAACTTACTTCTGAGTAAACTTGCTTAGGATTGTGCTGAAACTCAGCTTTTCTTGTTTTATTTTATTGTTTATTATTTTATTATTGTTTGCCATCGTGGTCCTACCCCATCACACATACACACACACACACACACACACACACACACTTTATTTGGGCTGCTTCAGACCAACACAGCCACCCACCTGAATTTTATTTAGGCTGTTTTCGTGATACAAAAGTTAGCAAATCATACAATTAGATTGTTTGCACTAATTACAAACAGGCTCATGTCGGTAATGTTGTTTTTCTTTTCCAAAACAAAGCAAATTTCAGGTTGAATCCATAAACTGGTTTTAAACTCATCAGACCAAATTATTTTTTCCTGAGAAGCTAAAACTGTTACCGGATGGAAGATCTTTTAGTTGTGGGATTCGATTTCATGGAATAAATCTGCCTAAATGTGCGCTGAATGCAAACAATTGTTTTGGAGGATTTAACTCAAACTCAGCTGTGTTTTCAGGTGATTCAGGCCTGGGCAGGTGCCGTGTCCGGGTTTGACAAGGCCTTCCTCCCCGGTAGGAAAGACAGAGGTAGGGTGGTTTCTTCTTCTAAGATGATACCGGTGAGCAGTGTTCCCTCTAAGATGAGTTAGTGTGAGCTAGCTCACAGTTGTTTAGCCTCCGGCTCACACATTTTTGTCTTAGCTCAGGAAGGATGGCTCCAGAGCAAACTCATTTATGCAGTAGCCAAATTGCTCGATCACAACTTTAAGGCCAGTAGCTCACAAAGTAGTCTTCTTGCTCACAAGACTCCACGGCTTAGAGGGAATATTGCCTGTGAGAGGCAAGTTTGTAAAAATAATTCACTTGAAACAATACTCTGCCGTCCAAATAAGAAGGGCAGGGGCAACACCTTGTTATCATCTCTCAAAACCAGTTAATCTAACTGGTGACTAAACATGGGGCCCCTTTGCCACCAGTTGTGTCAATCCGCAGCATATCTCCGTTTTCTCCTCAGGTTTCCGTCACAGCAGTCCCAGAAGCGGGACACATGAATTTCACGAATGAAATCAGCACTGATGGGACAGAACATAATCTCCATACACTGGGTGTAACGAATAATAAAATTATGACAGCGCAGTACGAATGCTACCAGAAAATCATGCAGGCTCCAGCTAACACAATTGAAGGTAAAGGAAGCTCATTTTTGAGATTTTTAGAACAAAGTTAGAGTCCAGTGGCACCTTTAAGACCAACAAAGTTTTATTCGAGGTTCAGTGGAACAGAACTTCCTCAGCCATTACAAATGGAGGGGTTAGTTGCCAGGAAGTGCTAGTTAGAGTCAAGAGGCATAAGTAACTGGGCTTGTTATAGCTGAGATTGGATAGAGGTGGTTGCTAAGATTTGTGAACGGCAAGTTAACAGCTACAAGAACTAGGGCGTTCTCCTTGGCTGCACCAATATGGTGGGACCAGCTCCCACACGAAATTCGCGCTCTGCGGGATCTCCACCAATTCCGCAGAGCGGTAAAGACGGAGCTGTTCCGCCAAGCGTTCAATAGCCCAGACCAATCATTATAGCACTTTATATGGCTCGCCGCCATGTGTAAATTGTAAATTGTAGTTGTAAATTTGTAATTTTATTGTTTTTGCTATAGATTGTTTTAGATGTATTGTATTAATTTTACTGGTTTTAATGGTTGTAAGCCGCCCTGAGCCGCTTCGGCGGGAGGGCGGGATAAAAATCTAATAAATAAATAAATAAATAAATTAGCATACAAATACAAGAGTTAACAAACAGATGTGAGAACGAAGTTTGAGTTCAGTGGCATTTCTGTGATGCTACAACTAGAAATGGAGGCCCCGGTCACACGGGAGAGTTTGGCCCGGGAGAGGGACGGATCGGGGGCGCAGCAAACGGGCGCAAGCACACCGCAACATCTGGGAATTGGCTTGCACCCGTCCCCGATCCGTCCCTTCAGGCCAATAACTCGCTGTAAAAAAGAACCACCCCCAGAGGAGGACTTACCTGGGACGCCGCATCAAGCTCGGCCGTGGGATCGCCGGCGCGCTCTTTGTTCGTAGCAATCCCGGCTCCCGGCTGAACTGCGCATGCTCACACATGCACAGTTCGGCTGCCTCACTTCCCTGTCAGTGGCTTCCCCCCGGCATCTGATCGTGCCGGGGAGGAAGTGCGCGGCGGCTCAGGGGATCTATGTGATCCCGCCGCCGTGTGTCTCTTTTGGTGCGGCTTTAAAAAGCCGCACTTTGCCCGTGTTTTTTCCCCCCGTGTGGCAGGGGCCGGAGACTGGCTCTTTTCAGGCGATGTGACCGCGCATGCCAGAAGCCCAACAGCTGTGTGCATAAGGAGCACCCACTACCTGCAGTCCTCCTGATACATGTGATCCCCATGTTGTCTGAAAGGGCCAACACGTGCATTTTGCATGTGTGTATAGTCTTGGCACGCCCTGACCTGGATGGCCCAGGCTACTCCGACCCAGTCAGATCTTGGAAGCTAAGCAGGGTCAGCTGTGGTTAGAGGTTGGATGGGAGACCACCAAGGAAGACAAGGGTCGCTATGCAGTGGCGGGCAATGGTCAACCACCTCTGAAGGTCTCTTGCCTTGAAGATTCTAGAGGGGTCACCGTAAGTCAGCTGTGACTTCAGAGCACTTTCCACCATAGTTTCGGTATATGGTACGAAACCCTGAGCTTTCAGGGTACAGGTTCGTGTGTACTGAAGCTGAAAATCTGCCCATTTGGGCCTTTGAGATGAAACGGTGGCTGTGCATAGTGGGGAGGATCTACACAATGCTGTCAGCCTCCTTGTATGTGATGTGGTTTGTCATGCACACCTCCAGCTGTGGCGGAAGGGCCCAGGAAGTTCACAGTCCCTGCGAACGACCAGTCTGGAGAAGCTGGATGGGTCAGCTGTTCAAGTAACTATTCAATAAGTGTGAGGCACAGTTGTTTTCCAGTTTTAGCGTACGTCCCTTGGAATTTTACCTTACGATGGTGTCTTTCTTGTTTTCTTGCTGCCATCAACAGTTGTTGTTGTTGTTGTTGTTGTTGTTGTTGTTCAGTCACACAGTCGAGTCCGACCCTTCACAACCCCATGGACCAGATCACGCCAGGCCTTCCTGTCTTCCGGCATCCTCCGGAATTTGCTCAATTTCATGTTCGTTGCATCGATGACACTGTCTAACCATCTCATCCTTTGCCGCCCCCGTCTTCTTTGACCTTCAGTCTTTCCCAGCGTCAGGGTCTTCTCCAGTGAGTGCTCCCTTCTCATTGGGTGGCCAAAGTATTTGAGCTTCAGCTTCAGTATCTGGCCTTCCAGGGAACAGTCAGGGTTGATTCCTTTTAGGATTGACTGATTTGATCTCCTTGCAGTCCAAGGGACTCTCAAGAGTCCCATAATTGAAAGACTCCAGCACCATAATTTGAAAGCATCTGTTCTTCGGCACTTGACCTTCCTTATGGTCCAACTCTCGCAGCCATACATGACTACTGGGAATACCATTGCTTTGACCATAAGGACTTTTGTTGGCAGGGTGATGTCTCTTTTTTTTATTATGCTGTCTAGGTTTGCCATCGCTTTCCTCCCAAGGACCAGGCGTCTTTTAATTTCATGGCTGCAGCCACCAGCAGGTTCTTCTGTTTCCCTGGATGGCTTCTGGATTGGATTAGGCATCGCTTCTGGTTTCTGCATTTAGCATGTTTGGTTGCTTTTAAAGATTATTTTTTTCCAGTGTTTTCTTTCCTTTCCTTTATCTTGTTAGATATTGCTTTGAGTGTGTTCTGGGCAGCAGAAGCAACCGCAAGAATTTAGAAACAAACAGATACTCCCATAGCCTCCTCGGTTCCAAGTGTCTTGCTTCCGTATTGCTTAAACCAACTGGCGCGCACACATTAGCGTGCAAAGTCGACAAGCTCTCGGTCCTTTTCTTTTGTTTTTACGGTATCACGCAAGCAGAAAGCAGGTTAAAGTGAATTAAGATCTGTTCGCCCACAGGGGAACTCTTTGTGGAAACATAATCTGTTACCTGACAAGCAGTTTTGCTTAGGCTGTAGCGACAAAAAATGCAAAAATCCTGCGGCTACTGGAGATGATTCTAGTTTATTGTGGAAGGAGCTTTCACGGGTCCAATTTATCAGATCGCACAATGCAACATGTTGGCTTGGGCTGCAAGCACGGCAACTGGTGATTTTAAGCTGTTGGGGAGAGCTCGCTGTGGTGCATCAGAACTATTGAGTGCCTTGCTTGCGAGGGTGGTCTGCCCCTACCCACATTTTGCTTTAATCTGGAGAACCGGTTTTGATTCCCCGCTCCTCCTCCACCTGAAGCCTACTGGGTGACCTTGGTGCAGTCACAGTTCTCTCGGGACTCTCTCAGCCCCACCTACCTCACAAGGTGCCTGTTGTGAGGAGAGGAAGGGAAGGCGATTGTAAGCCGCTTTGGACTATAAGGAAGGCCGAGCGCCGAAGAATAGATTCTTTTGAACTATGGTGCTGGAGAAGACTCTTGAGAGGCCCTTGGACTGCAAGAAGATCAAATCAGTCCATCCTAAAAGAAATCAACCCTGACTGTTCCCTGGAAGGCCAGATAATGAAACTGAAGCTCAAATACTTTGGCCACCAAATGAGAAGGGAGCACTCACTGGAGAAGACCCTGATGCTGGGAAAGATTGAAGGTCAAAGAAGACGGGGGCGGCAAAGGATGAGATGGTTAGACAGTGTCACAGATGCAACGAACATGAAACTGAGCCAACTTCAGAGGACGGCGGAAGACAGGAGGGCCTGGCGGGAGCTGGTCCATGGGGTCGCGAAGAGTCGGACTCGACTGTGCAACTGAACAACAACAACAACAAAGGGTATAAAACTGAGCTGTTCTTCCTCTTGAATTTTCTGCTCAGACTGGCAGCAACTCTCTAGGGGGGCTTGGGTAAAGAAAGGCCCTTTCCCAGAATTCCAATATGAGAGGGTCTTTAGCTAGAGATGCCAGGGACTGAGCCTGGGATCTTCTCATGCTGAGTAAATGCTTTGCCACTGAGCCTTGGCCTCTCATTCTCAGTGTAAAGCTGGCTACAACCCATTTATCTCGACACATTGATCTGGAAGCCACTGAGAATCAAGCTCCCAGTCTAGTTAGCAACACACTTTCATCTGGATAGCCCATTTTTTGGGGTTCTGTTTCCTGGCCATGTCCAAGCACATGGCTGTGGAGTGTGACAGAACCCCCAGAAGCAGCTTTTTAATATATGGCGATTATAGATGGATGAACTTTGTAATAGACTGGGCGTGATTTCTTTTTGTCGATTTGATTTTTCTCCTCAGAAGATATGTTCAGTTACAGATCCTTGGTTAAATTGTGCTGAAACGCTTTCACAACCTGATTTCTCCTTATTTTTCTAGGTCCACACTGCAACAGAACATGGGATGGGTGGTTATGTTGGGACAGTGCGTCTGCAGGAGTTGATCTGGTGCAGAACTGCCCCGATTACTTCCAGGACTTTGATCCATCAGGTAAATGTGTATTGGTTTGTGTATTGGCGACGTGGGCTACCTTTTCAGGGAACTGAGGCATAAATATTGGTGTCCTCCTATTGTTCTAAAAATCACTCATTTGAATAGATAAAAAGAAATTTTAGATCAGAAATGAAATCAAAATACAAGTAGAGTATTTACTCAAATGCAAGATGAGTTGGTTTTCCCCCCAGGTATAGTGGCAAAGGGGGGGGGGTTGTATTCCATTCACATAAAAGATTTGATGAATGTGACTATGAGATATGACTAGAGTATTTGACAAATTGTTTAAAATTGTATAAATATTTCAACACTACCCACTTTGATAAAGTTATACACGAAACGAGATGTTATATGCATGGTTCGTTATGTTGATGGTGTTTGAATTGCTTCCAGTAAACTGAATATTGGAAAAATAAATTACAAGTCTGTGAAGAATCCTCTCTTTTTTTTGGCACAATACATCACGGTTGTTTGCTTCCTTTCAACTTCCATCCCGTGATCCAGGGGTCATTTCGTAGAAAAAGAGCTAGGGGGACTCATTAGCATAACTCATTAGCATATGCCACACCCCCTGACATCACCGGAAGTGTGTCCTCCCCACAGCCGGCGGCGACCTCCAGCGGGCACCAGCAGGGAGCTCCAGGCCCCGCCCTCCCACACCTCACCCGGGGGGATGGCGTCCCCCCGCGTCCCCCCCAAAATGACCCCTGCTCTTCAGGATGAATATTCTCATGGTCTTAAAGACTAGATATATGCTACCACTTCTTGTCATGCTAAGGCCTAGTTCTCAAATAACAGATGAGGTAATAAACCTGTTTCTGGATTTTAAAATGAAGAATTGCGGAAATCGGGCCTCCAAAGCGGGGGGAAATCCGCCCCCCGGGGGGAATTGGCAGCCCTACTTCTGGGTGAAGTAGGCACGTCGCTCCACGTGCTGTTTGGGGGGGGGGGATTCCCTAACGCTCCATCACATACCACTATTTGCAACCAGGAAGCCAGCAACCTTCGTTGGAACCTCTATGTTCGGTTGGAACTCTGCACTAACTCCACATAGGTGGGTTGTACTAGGAAACAGCTTTTTCTTACGTATCGAAAAAGGTTGTTTTATTCACTCAGGGCATTTCTTGTAAACCGTCTTTCTAGGAAACCTGCTGGATGTAAGCCGTTGCGCTGATTGAAATCTAGCTGGCAGTTTTGGGATTTTTAAGATCCATTTTAATGGGCATTCCAGCATTTCAGCACTGGTGCATTCCTGCATGCCTTCTCCTGAATCAGACCATTGGCCCCTCTAGGCCACTCTTGTCTGCTCTTTGGGACGGCACCTCTCCAGCAGGGTGGGATCCTTCCTGTTTACTTGGGATCCTCAAACAGGAAGGAACTTGGGGCCTTCCGCATGGAAGGCAGGTTGCCACTGAGCCATGGGTTCTCCCAAGTGTTAGGGGTGCCAGCTTCCAGGTGGGGCCTGGAGAGCTCCCAGAATCACAACTGATCTCCAAACAACAGAGACTCTATGGCATGAGACCCTGATCAGACCCTCCCCCCTCCACAGGCTCAACCCTACCAGACATTGGCACATAGCACTTAGCTGTCAGTGAGCTGAGTAATCTCGTCACATTCACTTTCCACTTTTTCTGTTGAAGTAAGTACGAAACTCTGTTTCGTGTTACTGCATGTTTGCTTGTTTTTTGCAGAATTTGTAGATGTTTATTGTGTTAGCTTCCAGCTATAGCAAACATTTTAAAAGAAAGAGTACAACATACCATAAAAACTATAGATAACCATTAAAATCTAAATATCCATTACAACTACCGATACTATTCAATTATACATACATAAAATACCCCATACAAATTATTATTGGATATCATTTATTTATTATTAATCATATCTAGCCAGATCTTCCTCCTGTTAATGGCCATCCATCCATATTTTGCCACCTTAAGGGTAATTTCCCTATTCCTATCGGCTAACATTATTGTGAGATAGTCTCTTCTAGATTTGCCTGGCCGCTATCGACGATAGGTTTAATGTACATTTCCCTAAGATATTCATATATTTTACAGTCAAAGACTACATGCACAAGCGACTCAACACTCCCATCTCCACAGGGGCATAAACATTTCCATATGGTATCCTCTTATATTTACCTTCCAAAACAGCAGAAGGTAGGGCCTCATAACGTAGTAAAGTAAAAGCTCTCCTATGGTCAGGGTTTTCTAAGCTTGTTTATATAAGGCATCAGTGAGACCTTATTCATAATACTTCTCTCCAATACCTTGTTGTTAACTCTAGTCAGGTCATGTTGCCTTTCCACATCTAGAATTCTTTGTCTGACCAATGCCTTAGCCTGTACCATATTCATAGACAGTAGATATTGTTGAGACAAATCCCAGAAACCTAATTTATTCCTCAGTAATCTCAGGTAGCATAAATCTTTTTGCCTTTTACTTAAAGATAAACATGTGTATTGACTATTGCTTTTCCCTCCCTTCTCCTTAATTCTATCCAATTGTAGAAAAAGTCATTAAGAGCTGTGACCAAAATGGACACTGGTTTATACATCCAGAAAGTAACAGAACGTGGACAAACTACACAATGTGTACCTTAGGAGTAACTTCAAAACTACAGGTAGGCTCTTATGTTTGTTACCAGCCAGAAGGGTATTTCAGAAGTCATAGAACCACTGTAGAGTTTGCAACCTGAACCTCAAATATGCAAACTTGGAATTTCTTTTTAATTTCCGCTAAATTTGTTTAGGCTGTATTGCAGTGAGTTTTAAATGCATTTTAATCACCCAGTTTACAGTTTAGTTTGATTAGCCTCTTTATGGTTCTTCCCAAGTGAGCAGATAACCCTGTATGCCGCAGGGAATGGGTTCATCCAATCAGGACTGGGGTCTCTAGCAAAGTCTCAGGTTTAAAGCAGATCCCCACCCCTGAAAAATGCTTGGAGCTGTTGCATTTGGGCTAGCCTTGGGATGCTGGGAATTTTCTTGGCAGCTGACTGGCACATCCTTGCAAGCTAAGGGGTTACTGAAAGAGGTCCTACATTAGGCTGAGGAGGAGTGGCCTGCTTATTCCACCCCACTTAACATCAGGCCCGTAGCTACCACGGGGCCCACGGGGCCCGACCCCCTAGTGGTTTCTATGGGCCCCACTCCCTGAGCCTCAGCTTTCCCTCCCCCCTGGGCCCCCTCCCCCTGATTGGCTGGTGTAAATGTTTCCAGTGCAGCTTTTGGAACCGCAGCCGGCATCTCCCTTTTTGAGATCAAGAGCCAAGTCTCTTTAGGGCCCAGCAACAACCGGCAGTTCGCTCCTCCTGCTGGATTTTCTGGGCCAGGCTTCAGAAGAGATCGCCAGCTCAGGGAAGGAGTGAGAAGAAGAAGAAGAAGAAGAGGAGGAGGAGGAGGTGGAGGAGGAGGAGGAGGAGGAGATTGGATTTATACCCTGCCCTTCACTTGGAGTCTCAGAGCGGCTTACAAACTCCTCTCCCTTCCCCTCCCCACAACAGACACCCTGTGAGGTGGGTGGGGCTGAGAGAGCTCTGACACAAACGGCTCTTTTTCAAGGACAGCTGTGCCAGAGCTTGTGACTGGCCCAAGGTCACATCAGCAGGTGCAAGTGGAGGAGTGGGGAATCAAACCTGGTTCTCCCAGATTAGAGTCCGCACACTTAACTACTACACCAAACTGGCTCTGTGAGGGAGGAAGTTTGATCCCTGCTCTCTCTTTTTTTTAAACGAGGCAGCGTTCCTAGACCTCTGAGGAGACTTAGTGTGCGGCGCTGTTAACAGTCTATTAACATTAAGATTCTGGGTTGCCTTGGAGGAAGGTTCTAGTGGGGGCTGGGTGGGTGCGCGCCAAGCAGACCCCCCCTTGCCCTGGAGCCTTTGATGTAATTAACTCGTGGGCCCCCCAAGGCCCCCTCCCCAAACAATCCCTAGCTACGGGGCTGCTTAACATGCTCTGTTGAGCCAGATGTCTGTCCTTTCCCCAGAGGAAGAAGGCCCAGGTAGTTGATCCTACTGTTATTAGGCTAAGCTGCTTCATTCCAGTATTTCCCTGACCCAAGCTGACGTGTGACAGCATTGATGGCAGAAGGACTGTTGAGTTCTTTGGTGTGCTGTTTGCCTGGATTTAGCGAACCAAAGACTTTATCCTGTCTGAGATGCTACTAAACATGGTCTTGCCGCGCTCCCCCCTGGAATGCCACTTTCTAAGTGGACTATCAAAGATTCTGCCCACAGAGGAGGAAACCTTGCAGAAAAGGCAGATGGCGGGCATCAAAGCATTTGGTTTCCTTCCGTCTTAGCGCACCTTGTGCAAGTGTATAGGTCCTTGGTTGCTGGTTATTTAAAATGTTTTTAGGTGTCTAAAATGGCCGTTTTCTGTGGCAGTGGGGGGGGAGCTGAGAAGGGCCACGCCCCCTCATGGATGTGCCCTGCCCCCTCAGGGATGCCAGCCGCCCCCCCCCCCCCGCAGCCACCATCGAGCAGAGCAGTCCCCCTACGGAAAGGCAGGCGGTTCTCATCGGCAGGAGCGTCTGCTGCTCAGCCGCTGTCCCCGCTGCCTCCGTCCGTTCTCCTCCTAACCCTATCCTCCTCCTCCTGTGTTCATTGAGAAACGTCCTTCTCTTCCATCTTGCACCGCAGTGGGTGACAATGAGTTTCTCATGAGCCTGAAGCAAAGCTGCACTGTCCTCCTCCTCCTCCTCCTGTGTTCGTTGAGAAACGTCCTTCTCTTCAATCTTGCACCGCAGTGGGTGACGATGAGTTTTTGATGGGCCTGAAACAAAGCTGCACAACTTCAAGCAAAGCTGTGTTCCAGTCTTTAGCGGGTTCCTTATGGGGAAACTGGGAAAGAGGAAGTGAAGCGAATCCAGAATGTCCCTTTCGTTGGCCAAGCTTCCTGCCCCCCCTCCCCCACGCTGGAGAAGAGTCTTACAGTGGTCCCCACCACCTCAGACGAGAAACAGTCACAGAGAGCTCTCGACCCCGCCCCACGCGTGCTTCTGCTTCCCTTTCCTCTGCTGGAAGCCCTCTTTGCAGAGTGTGTGCGTCCCAGAGATAGCGAAATTAAAATCTACATACAGATCACCTCTTTTCTTCCTTCAGTGAGTTCCGCTCCTGTTAAGTCTACCCCCCTTACCCCGCAGGCAGGTTTAGCCACCGCACTAAAC